GGGAGATGGTTTTAAACTGGAAGAGAGCAGATTTAGACTAGCTATTAGGAAGAAATTCTTGACTGTGAGGGTGGTGTGACACTGGAATAGGTTGCCCAGTGAGGTTGTGAATGCCCTCTTCCTGGAAGCATTCAAGGCCAGGCTGGACAGGCTTTGAGCAAGCTGGTCTAGAGGGAGGGGCCCCTTCCTACAGCAGAGGGTTTGGAACTAGATGATCTTAAAGGTCCCTTCCAACCCAAACTGTTCTATGATTCTATGATTTTTTTTTTCCTTTAAATCCTAACAGTGTCACAAGTGAACACCAGAAGAGTAGTTGTGTCAACCCAAGCTGAAGAGAAATTTATTACAGCATTCAAGATACAAAGATACAGATAGCTAAATATCTTATAAGAATTCAATTTGTCTAATCCATACACAAATCATTTTCATTATTTATATCAATTGTATTTGAGTTTACTACAAGCAGACAACAACAAAAGGCCTTAAGAATTTCCTAAACAAGCCAGTTTCATTGTGTAAATAAAATGAAAGCAGACCACTCCTCACTATCCTTTGGCTTTGAAACAATCAAAGGATTGTTTCAAGGACTAAGGATGTACTCCCAAATGCTCAGCCTGAATCTTAAAAATACTGCAGCAGCAAATACCAGTATTTTGCAAGTAACAAGGATTGAGTCACAACACCACTGATTCAAATATAAACAAAATTCCTTACTAGGTAATTTAAGGATGTACTGCTTCCTAAAGTTTTGTATTGACTCCTGTAAAGTAATTTTGCAAAAATAAAGAAACATGCATTATATATTTCTTTAGTAGAAGTATTACAAAAGCATACATAAGCCATATTTTCTTTTATACTCACTTTCTTCATCATCATCAGAATCTGAAATGTCCACATCATCTTCTCTGATGGTTATTCGAGCTACCAAAAATGAGATCATTACTGGAATACTCATGAGGAATTTATGAGGTAACAACTCCAATACTAAATCAAAGTGCACTGGACAACAGTCTTCAGTGTGACTAAAACATCAAAATTATCCACAAGAGTTTCTCTAAGAACAGTCAAAAACATTGCTTTAATCAGAGAACCAGGTGGTTCTTGATCATCTCATATGATCATCATTAGAGCTTCTGTTTTTCAGTAGTAACATTACACAGTTCTTTCCCTTCCTAAACTTCTTCAATAAACAGGCTCCGTTAAGAGTTTTAATAACCCTTTAGACTAGATCTTCTGAAGTCTAGGTACATAAAATGGTCTGTATTGCAATTCAGTCATTCAAGTTAAATTAATCAACAGAAAACAATTAGATTGTGATGTATTATACAGAATTTATATGCAAAATAATTATTTTGATAAACAAGTAAGAATATTAAGAGGAAAGAAACTTACGAGGAACGAACTGGGATACAATCATGCTCAGGCATGGCCTAAGATGGACAGTTTGTGCTGACACCAGATTGCCAAGAAAACCCAGATATTCTTCCACTACCTCTCGGCTTCTTCTCAACCATGGTAGTTTCTGAAAGTAAATAAAGACCAAGGTGTCAAACAGATGTTTTGAGTACTACACTCTTAACCTGCCTATATAATAAATGAGTATTTACCAGCAAAATGCTGACCAGTTGCTCAAAGTCCTTGGTCAGATATGTGACAGAAGATCGAAATTCATGCAGCCAGTTAATGATCTGTGCATCCTTAATATAAGTAGGGAAAAAAATAACAAGCCTATTTTAGTAAACAACAGGACCAAAAACGATAAGATTTTTTTGAATACCAAAGCCCATAGAATCACAAGTCAAAGATTAAGACACTAAATTGAAATTATTTTCACACAATCATAGAAGGAATTCCTTGAACTCGCACCCTCACCAATGAAAATTCTTTAACACAACAATACACACTCGCCAACCAGCAGGGAAGTTTAAGTGACAAACTGAGTAAGGTATGCAAACCTCAATAACAAAGAACGTATCTGTGGCACCTAGAACCCTACTTTCCTTCTGTATTTTCTCTTAGTTTAAGCAGAGGAATAGTCAAGTATTGAAGTAAGAACCAATTCCACAGAGAAATTTTTATACTGATTTTGGTCATACTCCCCAGAAGTTCTGCTAAAAAAGATGTATTTTACAGAACATTCTATTTAGAAAGAAAAGGAAATCCATATAACGTTATCCTTCCTGCAGCATTCTTCTGACAACTGTGTGACTTAATTAAAAGATAAAAAAAGGAAAAAAAAAATACAAAAACACCATCGATACCCACAGCTGTAAGAAACAGCCCTGAAACTACTCCTCTAACTGCTAGATACATATGAATCTTAATGCTTAATTAACTAAGTTCTTAGTGAGAGCTGAGGGAGGCAGTAACTCACAACATAAAGGCATTGACAGTCAGCAGTTATGGTTTTATCTACGTTACGGAATCCGTAGATACAGACCTAGAAAGGTGGCATCTGGAAGAAAAATCTCACCAAAAAGCACAGTTTCTCACTCTAAAGCAAAGTCAGTAAGCATAAGACAGCATTTATTAGGTTTCTGCATACGAGATATGTGTCTGCTCATAAACACACAATAGCTGCTTTTCATTACTTCTGACAGTTTCTATGAAGCAAAAAGCAGTTATATGTTAACCAATGCTTAAAACAAAGGATTTGCTTTTAAGCACCAGAACGGCTTGTGTGGTGACACTCAGACAGCTGAGTGTTAAACCATCGGCCCCATGCCGGCAACTTACCTTTATGTCAGGATCTGACAGCTGATGCTTTAACAGCTCGAAGTCAGTGGTTTCACCCTGGCACGGGAAAGAAAAATAAATTATGCTCATTATTCTTCTAGAAAAAAAAACATACAAAAAACATACATAAATAAATAAAAAACAAAAAAAACACCATGCTTCATTAACATATCTCAACAACCTAAGAGCATTTAATCACAACGCAAAGAAAGCGAGTGGCAAAGCACGAGAGGCAGCGGCAGCAGAACGCGCCCCCGAGAGGCGGAACTGCCCCCCCGCAGATCTTTGCGTCCCAGCCGCTCCACACAAGCCCGAGCTCGCGAAGATTTTCCACTGGCACAGCAAAACCACCCGGCACCAGCCCGGAGCCTCCGAGGCGGCAGAGCCAGGTCAGCACGAGCTTTCACCGGGACACGCCGCCGCGCGGAGGGCCCTAGCCCCGTGCCGCGCACTCACCCGTTCGTACTTCAGCAGGATGTCCGTCAGCGTACCCCCGAACCGCACTGTCTTCTTGGGCGGGGAACTGATGAACTCGTCCCCCGCCAGCATGGTCACGGCTCCACGCGTGAAGAAAAGCGAAACCGGCTCAGCCCCTCCAGCCCTCGCACTGCACTTCACCTCGTCTCGCGGACGGCGACGTGCTCCGCTAGCGGCCCAGGCGGCCCTCCGCGCCACGCTACCACACGGCGCAACCGGCAGAAGGGCGCCCGCGCCCCACCGGAAGCGGGGACCGCTCCTCCCCTCGCGCCATAGAGAGGCGAGGCTGGAAGGGCGGGAACGACTCCGGCGGAGGTAGCGCGGGAGGACCGAGGGAGGCGCGGCGCTGCGTACAGAGGCGCGGTTGCTGCTACAACGTAGGGCTTCCTCGGAAAGCAAAGGTCCAGATTTGAGCGCAGTGTCACTCTGGAGCAGTCATTTTACTGAGAGGGGGAAACAAGCAAACAAAATGCTGTGGAACCCTGACGATCCTAACAATGGAGTCACGCTGAAGAAGAGCTGAATGCCATCTGAACAAAACAGAATTTGATCCTGGGAAGCTAGCAGGCACCTGATAGGACCAAGAGATGGTTGCATCTTCCAGAAACTTTTCATCTTTGCCATCGTTCTCCAAACACGCTCAACAAAACACCCTATCGACATTTCTGTCTCAGTGCAGGAACAGCTTCTCCTCTCCCACCACTAAGCACTGCATGCATAGATGGAGTCCCATTCCTCAATGCCCTCAAACATATTCAGTTGAAGGATATACCCATAATTCAAAAGGAACTAAAAAAGATGGAAACGTTGATTAACTTTCACAGAACACCCTGGAAAAGTACAAATGAAAACACATATATTCCTTTATAGTTCATAATGTTCAGAGTGCTCTCAACCTTCATCAATTCAGCCAAACACTTCACTGTTCCGTAGCTCACACAGACCAGCTACAGCAACACAATGACTAATCTCAGCCCTTCTCTAGCTGTAGCATCCGCTGATCCTCTGAGTTGGCCACCTCTGTAACAAGTAGCTCATCCTCAACAATTTTCCTCCCTAGAAAACCCATCAGTCCCATTAGAGATTGTTAGAAAATTCGTTAGTAACTTTCATTTAGTTTCTCCATGGATAAGATGTTCCTATTGAAGGAAAATAAGCCATACATATAGCACATATCTAAAGAGCCTAACAGCAAGCATTTAACCCTGCTGTGTGCTCATACATTAGAGAGTTACATGATCCTTTAGTAGTCACATCAGGAAGTATTCTTTTAAGCTAGCATTAAGGCTTAACCAGCTACAAAGGGCTGGTGTATAAGCAACAAGAAGCTGAAACTTGGTTACAGGAAACCTTGGCTGTATTTGAACAGCCGGAGACTGGCCTTTAGGTCTGAGGGAATCTAGACATAAAGCTGTGTAAAGCACGCAATTACACACACTCCTATGTGTGTGCAAGTTCTTTGCAATCAACAGTGTAAATGTTCCTTGCATGGACTTTGTGCTGCATTGAGCTACAACTGACAAGGACACCAGGAAATTAAGATAACACTAAACATCTGTTAATGTTTAACTGCTAACAATCAAGTTGCCAGCTTCTATTTAGTATCAATCTTTGTTATGCAGAATGCAAACAATAGGCTGCATGACAGAGTAACTATTTTATATTAAAAAAAAAAAAAAAAAATCCCAACAAACTCAAATCATAGCTTATAATGGCACTGCTCCACAGCAAGTACTTTTTACCTCTTTGTTTAGATATACATCATTAGTAACATCATGGTACTCCTCTATGAAGAACACAATTTTTATTTTTTTTATGTGCCAGCTCCTATATTTAAAATTAAATTGTACATACTATTAATAATTGTAAACATTTGAATCTCATATAATTAGAGCAACACCCTCTGCAGCCAAATGACATTCTAACAACCATCCATCACAATCACTAAGTATCTGATACTGGATAGAAGATCAATCATAACGTGCAGTAAATTTAAAGCCCTACTCCGTTTACTTTGATATTTATAACTGCAACACTACATTAGATAAAACTGTCATCAGAGCTAGTACACAAAAGGCTGCACAAATTTTGGGTTAATTTATAACTGCTACTCTACTCACTAGACATTTTACGTCTCAAAACTCAGTTTAACAATTGAAGCTACAGGTAAGTCAGGAAAAATAACTTTTCAGCACAGAGAAATGAAAAATTGCCTTGGAAAAGACATTGAAATCATAATATGTAGGTTTTAGGGAGGAGGGTTTTGTTTGTTTTTTTAATCAGACCACTGTAATAAAAATAGTGGTGTCACACTGCAGTTCTCTAAAAGGAGGATACAGCTCTAACTCCTAACATCTGCATTTAGTAAAGAAATTATAGATTCCCACATCTAGTGTCTATGTGTCAGTCTTACAAAAGACTGAGAGCATTTGGAAAATATTTAAAGAAATAGAATGCATGTAGAAGTTAGTCCAGTAACTTTCAAGAGAGCATTTAAAGATATTTAATGGGCTCACGAGGAAATGCAGCCACAGTATTCTGAGTAAACTCTCTTGTTAAATCCACCTCTTGTATTCAATAAGGTACAGCATAAAAACAATCATGCATTAAAAGTGCAAGGCCTACCATAAGTGCCAATGGTGGTCTCAAACTCTTTGTGTTAGTGCAGAAACAGAGGAACACAAAAATTTATCACATACATGAGTTTTAGGTATCATTAACTTTAATATTAATCTTTTATACAGGCTTCTAATTTCAATTGCATCTACATATAAATTTGGTAGAATTTTGTAAAGCATCAGAGTGCTTTTTAGTCTACAGTTTTTTTAATGCTTCAGCGTTAGAAAAAGTTATTGTATCATAACTGAATTCAAAAGCCTCCTCTTATCATATTACATTACATGTAACTATGAAGAAAGAATTGGAATGCCAACATCACTATTTTTCTTGTGTACTTATAAAACCTCAAATTCCAAGCTATTCCCAAATAATGACGAAACTTCATAGGAGTCACTGTAAATCTTGTATTTACATTATTAACAACTTCTGCATTCATAACTGCACCAGTAGTTTTACACAGGTATTTTAAAAGCACCCTTACAAATAAAAGTATTGCACTGACATCATATAAAATTCACAGTGAGTTTAACTTCCAGACCTTAGAAAAACAGTGCAAAAGCTTTTCACTGTGCAAGAGCTTTTTATCCAAACATTCCTGGGTCATTATGAAAGGTAATTATGTATAACATGCTGCAGTTATTTTTTCTGTGTATTGGGTTGGTTTCCTTTTTAGTTCTCGCTTCTTGGAAAGTCAATTTTAAGTTTTGAAATGATGAAACAAACAAACAAAAAAACAAATAACAACCACATGTGATCCAGTCCAACACTGAAATAGGTGCATTTGGCAGAGATATAGGTCTATGCATCCACTTCATATAAAGTCCACTGTGATTGCAGAAATTATTCCATATGAAGGAATCTTACTGCATGGAATACAGATTTCTCCTTCCATGAATTGTAGCAGTTTCACCTCTTTTAGAGGCAATAACTTCAACAGGCTTGTCTTCAGCAGATCCTGAAAATAATACATTAAGAAATGGTTACTCCAAAGTAGTCTTAAAACAGCCATATAAAACTCTAAATCATACCTTGAAATCAGTCTTAAGAGTACTTTTCTGCATGTTTAACAGCCAGTTGGATCCCACACATGAAAAAATACAAAATAAAAACAAACAAACAAACAAACAAAAAAATATCAACAGCTCATCTCCAACAGTGACCATGTACGGATGTTAAAAGCATAAGATCATAGAATGCAAACATTATCTCCTCAAGATATTATCTCAAATTCCACTTACTGCCCCAGGTTTTGTCCAGATGGAACATAACATCTTCATGTCACTTCTGTTTTCCTTGTAGCTTTTTGAGTTTGTAAATTTTTATCTGTTACTTTACACTATGTCGAACATGCAACAACTCTTCGATACATTCTTTGTCATTGGAGGGGTAATAAATAATTGTTCCTTATGCACATTTTGGTACCATTTATGACTGTGCAGATGGACTCGAGTATTTTATTCTCTGCTTCTCCTTTCAGACTCAAGAACCCTACTCATTATTCAATATAACTCACTTCATACCTTGAGATTTCTCACCCATTTCTACTACATATCTTTTAGAAACAAAATCAAAACAGCATATGGTATTTTGCTTACCTTGAACAAGAAAAAAACAAAACAACACAGCAAAACTAATAATCACAAGAACCAAGTGACAAAAAATGCTTAAATGAGTTTCTATAAAGAACAAGCTTCCTTATTCAAGCAACAGCAATTCACTGCACTCCCCCTTAACATCCAGACTTCTTTATACATGTAATTCCAAGTTAATTAATCAGGAAGCTTTTGTAATGGCCAGTATAGTAAGTATAGCAATTTGACTTCTTTCCCCTCCATACTTTCATTCTTAAGTAAATGTGATATGCGTACAAACAGACCAGGAATGTTTTCAAGGCTTCAGTGATTCTTCAAATGATGCTTGAAGCTGGATTCTGACATTGCTTCTGCAGACTCAATAGTAGCCATATTCTTCAGATGATTGAGGTTCACAGTGACAAGTAGCTCAGCTATGAATTCTTTATGAGTTTTGAACTATCTGTTGCAACTCTGCCTCCAAGATGCATACCAGCTGGCATTTCACTGTTTTTTTTCTCTTCGCAACAAAAGGAGTATTTTGTGTTGGTAGAACATGAGCTTCTTTCCTCACAGGAGTTCTAGTGGGTGCTAGTGCTTTATGGTTATTTGTTACCTCACATTTCAAGTTGTTGTCAGCAGTTCAGCAGCAGTCAGGATCAGTTCAAGACTGCAGCCTTGGTACCCTGCCATATGACAGATCTTCCAAGGTCAACATGCCAAATTCTTCATGCTCACGCATGAATGCAGATTTGTTTCATAGAATCCTTAGAGTTGGAAAGGGACCTTTAAGGGTCATCTCATCCAACTCCCCTGCAATGAACAAGGCTCAAGCTGCAATGCGCAGTTTGATCAAGTTGCCCACCCACTGATCCACCGTCACCTTGAAAGTCTGGGGCATCAACCACAACACTGGACAACCTGTTCCAGTGCCTCACCATCCTACTTTCCTGTAAGAAAAAAGTCTTTTTCCTTACAGCCAACATAAATCTACCATCTTTAAGCTTCAAGACATTTCCCCCTGTTCTATCACCACAGCATAGGATCTGCTCCATGATCTTTCCTAGCACAGAGGTGAGACTGACAGGTCGGTAGTTCCCAGGGTGATTCTTTTTACCCTTTTTAAAAACAGGTGTGACACTGCCTTTTTTCCAGTCATCAGGGTCTTCACCTGATTGTTACAGCTTCTCAAATATCACTGAGAATGGCTTGGCAACTACATCAGCCAATTCCCTCAAGACTCTGTGATGCATCTCAGAGGGACCTATAGACTCACGGATGTCCTTTGTGCTGGTCTGTTTGATTTTGAGACATCTTAGCCTGCTGTAGGGAGCCTGCTTTGCAGGGGAGTTGGACTCAACGATCTCTAGAGATCCCTTCCAACCCCTACAATTCTTTGATTCTGTGCGTAAGCAATTTCAGGACACTTTTTCAATTTCCCTTATCATTAGAATCAACTTTTCCTTTTTTTTTTTCCTAACGGACCAATGGAGATTGACATAACAAGTTTTCATTATTGTTACTTTCCATAGGTTTAGCATGAGGCGAGAAGATTTCCTGCGTCCCCAGACACAAATGACCGATTTTCACCCAAGCCAGCTTTATTGCACGGCTCTCTCCGGCCGTGCCCGCCCCCAGCAGGACACGCCCCGGCCCGGCCTCCCGCACCACCCCCCCACCCCACTCACCTGTTGCCGTCGGCGGCGCGGCGCGGCGGGCCGCGGGGGCGCTGCAGCTCCAGGTCGGCGGCGCGGCGGGAACGAGACGCGGTGCCGAGAACTGAAGAAAAGCGGAGGCTGAAGCCGTGCACCAAACCCCGCAGTACGCTATCCCCACGGCCCTTGGGCGGTGCCAGCCCCACGTCGTCGCGCAGCTCCTCTGGCGACACCTCTAGGTTGCCCGCGTACCAGAACACCCACCAGATGAGGCTGAGGAAGATGCCGATACCGCCCGCGTAGATTAGTAAGTCGGCGAAGAACACGTCGGCGAACACCCCGGCCAGCAGCACCGCCAAACCCACCGCGTCGAAGGCCAGCGCCAGCCAGAAGGCGGCCACGCAGCGGCCCAGACCTCCGGGGGCTGCCATGGTGGAAGAGCGACGGCGCCGCCGCCTCGAGCCGCTCGCACCTGAAGGGGAAGCCGAGGCCGCGCCCCCTCCGGCCTCACCTGTGCTCGCGGGGCCACGCCCCTCCCTGAAGCGCCTGCGTCGCGCCCCGCCGCCGCTGAGGCGAGGGCGCTGCAGGCGCCGGGCGTTTCTCCCCGGTTCTGACCGCTCAGCACAGTGCTGGCCCCACGTTCGCGGAGGCCCTTTGCCTAGATCGGGCTTCCGCCCCTTCAGGCCACTGCCCCTCACCTGCCAAGGACCTCCGTTGCGAGGTCTCCCGAGCATCGCTTCGCTTAATGGCAGAATGGCTGGTGCAGGCATTGGAGAAGATGGTCGGTAGCAGCTGTAAGCGTCTTGGAGTTGAACCTTTCCTGATTGCTGTCGTTTCCTGGTGCAGGTGAGCATGGGCAGCATCAAGATGCGACCCACTGTGAAGGGTTTTGCCTTGGTTAGCCAAACGTGCTGGCACCTCTACCCAGAATGGACATGCTCCAAAGGAGGCTGCTGGGAGGTAGCTGTACCGTTCCAGACAGCCCTGTGTGAGTGATTTAGCAGCCTATAGGGCATAGGATATTCACAACAGTTATAAAATGTGACAGAGTCACAGAGTGCACATTTGAGGAGATTGGCTTAGAAGGAGCAGTCAGAACATAGCTTCAGAGTAACAAGCAGGCAACAAGTAGTGAATGCAAGTACAGAGATGAAACTGGTTTGTAAAAGGTGCAATGTTGTGTTGTAGGTCACCTAGTGAGAGTGAAGGATCTGGTACACATCTTTCCACCTTCTAACACTACAGCACAATAACTGCATGCAAGTGTAGGCTTTCCTGCACATGCTCCCAGGAGGCTTTTCTAACACCTTGCTTAATAGTGTGCAGCCACTAGTAAGCACAAATACCAGATCAGGGGAAAGACACACACTTAAGAGCACGAGCAGCTTCTACATGATGCCGCTGAGGACTCTTTGTTTCAATCATAGCAGTTTGTTCACTTATCATTGCCTGTGTTACCAACAGTATTCAATAAAAGGTACCCGTAGAAAGACAAGCTGAAATCAAAAGGAAAAAAAGATTAAACTAGTTACTGTTTACTAGGCCTCAGTTGTTATTTCTTGCAACATCAAACAAAATACACCATATTGAAGTACAATCCAAAGTAAATGAGACAAAAGATGTAATAGAGTTACTACAGTTGTATAATCGATGGATATCAAGATGTTACAATCACAAAATAAACAAGAGTTAGGCGAAGTGGACTATGATAACAAGAGAGAATAAATGGAAGGCTTACCCTTATGCTGAGTTCACCACAAAACACCAGGAGGGATCTCCAGATGAGATCCTTCCCCACTGGTAGCCTGGCTCCACCTCTTCCGGCAGCAGAGGTGAATTGCCTTCACCTGTGCTCCTCCGGCTGACTCACTGCTCGCCTCAGGTGATCAATCAGAGGTTCAGGCCGTGACTCAGTAGTTCCCATACAACAGTACTACAGAAATATATACATTTATAGTGAATGAGTTCTAAAAAGTGTACCTACGTCTCTGTCTTAGGTGAAAGCATGTACCTCTTAACAAGCAACAATACACTGCTACCACTACACCAGCTTTAATTCCTTTTAGAAAGTGAAAAATGTATACAAAAATTTGTACTACAAAGAACAAACCGAGTATACTCTCTCTGCTCTTCAAATTTAATATATTTTTAACAATGTAATTGATTATTGAAGTCTAGAACTTTCAATGAATAAGTATTTGTTATTTTTGCCATTTTCCCTGGAAAAAAAAAAAACAGTTTCTTAACAGAACAGTTGATTAAAGAAGGAACTACAATTATATATATAAGAACACTATTTTTTGTCCCAGCCAACAGATAGCGGTCTGATACAGAATGCATTTCCCTAAACAGGGGTTCAATTTCAGTCTAACATCCTCGAAGCAAAGTTAATACTCCATTTAACAGCTAGCAAGTAGCCACAAGGTGAAATGAAAAGACTAAAAACTGAAGTCTACCATATATATAGTTATAGAAACAATAAATGCAAATGCCCTTGCAATATATTTTATAGATACACAGATAACGCCCAAAACATTTTAAATGGAAAAAATTGAAACAAATCAGTTTACCATTATTTCATTACTGTGCTGTCTAGAAACTGAAAATTGACCAGAGTTCTGTTCCCCTTGATGCACAAATATATTAGAAATTACCTCAGTGATTTTAAGCTTTGAAAAGTGAATATAAGCAATGCAAGGAAATACAGTGGTGACAACAAGATCATCTTTCAAGTCAAGTACATCCTTGTTGTATGAAGTTTAGGGAAAAGAAACAGGTTTGTCTTCTTAAATGTGAAGAACAGCATAGAAGAAACCCAAGTAGAACAGAACACTTTAACAGAATATAGGAATTCTAAGAAAGATTGTAAACTGGTAGGAAATAGTAAAGAGAGACAAGCCAGAAGGTTTAAAGAAGATATAGTATTTTAAGAAATTCATGTTTGTAGTTTAAACAGGTAAGACCATATTAACGAAAATCACAAGCACTGACATCTGCTACATGAATGTGGAGTTTAGTGAAGAAGGAAATCCCTGTGCATGAACTCTAAAACATACAGAGAATGTGGAAGTCAGGTGGGAGGAAAAAGCTCATAAACTGCGGCTGTGCAGTAAGAACAAAAATGTAACTTTGAGCTGTTCTGCAGCTGAACTTAAGCATACAGCTAGACATCCTTCCAAAATAATGTTGCTCAAACGCAACAAGCTTTAGAAACCAAAAGATTTAAATTGAAAGATACAGCTGCATTTTATTTTTTTTTAAAGATGGAAAAGATGTAAGGTAACAAATACAGCTAATTAAAATAATGTGTTTATTCTTCCATTAGAAGGAACTACAAATTAATCATTAAGCCAGTGAGAAAAAGCTCCTAGGGTCAGCTTTTCTTAAGAAGGCATGTTACTTTATATTCATGAAAAGACAGCATTGAACAACTACATAAAATGTTACAGCAGATAGGCAACATTCACGACAACTGTGGTCTGCACACTTTCTTGGCTGCTTGCTTGGGTGTTTTGGAAGATTTCTTGGCTGACTGTACTAGTTTGCCAGCTTTGTGTGTAGCAAAAGACTTTGCTTCAGGCTTTTTAGGAGTCTTATCCAGCTGTTTTATTTCTTCCTTTTCCGTGCTGATCTGCATGGTTTTTTTTTGTTTTGGTGACATCTGCAAGTCTGCCCGCTCTCCTGTAACTTTCTGTTTCAAAGTTCCTGGAGCAAGAAATTGTTTCTTTCTCTTACCAAGGGTTGCTTTTGTTTTATTGACCAGATTGACACTTCTTTCTGGACTTGGTTCCTCTTTCTGTAATTAAGACATACAGAGGAAAAAAAAAAAAAAAAAAAAAAAAAGAAACAACCAAGCAACATTACGTTTTCAAATAACAAACATTTTTACTGTTATTGAAGAGATTTAAAAGAGCCATTATAAGCAACAAATGCTTTCTATCAATTACACAACTCCTTAGCCCAAATGATTTACAGAATCACAGAATGGCCAGGGTTGGAAGGGACTTCAAGGATCATGAATCTCCAACCTTCTTGCCACATGCAGGGCAACCAACCTCCACATTCAATACTAGACCAGGCTGCCCAGGGCCCCATCCAACCTGGCCTTGAACACCTCCAGGGACAGGGCATCCACAACCTCTCTGGGCAGCTGTTCCAGCACCTCACCACTCTCCCTGACATGCAACCTAAATCTTCCCTCCCTCAAAACCATTTCCTCTTGTCCTGCAGTTATCGATGCTTTCAAAGAGTTGATTCCCCTCCTCTTTGTAGGCTCCCTTTAGGTACTGAAAGGCTGCAATGAGGTCACCCCACAGCCATTTACTTACCTTGCCAGAAGTAGAAGGCAAAACACAGAATTAGATCTGTGTTTATAAAAAAACCCGTAAAATATAAAAATAGTTACAAAGCAAATAGATGGAACAGATACAAAGATGTTCACCCTCTTGGCTAACTAAGTCAGTACTCTGCTGGCAGAGCTGAAATCACAGTAAGCTTGCTACATGTCAGGGCTTAGATTTGATAGGCACAGCTCTTATTCAAAATCCAGCCATATCACCGACTGACTGTGCTTTGTGTGTGGATCAGGCATAGTATTCCCTAGAGATATTCCCAAACGACCCTCATGAAAGAGAGCTGCTTTCACAACAATTCATCCAACTCAGCTTCAGCTGTAAGCATCCCAGGGCTCTGGCAATTGCATCACATGAATTGATGTAGGCCAGCTGCATGACAGCAGCTTGAAGGAAACTGATTTTTTTTTTTATTTTTATGTTGGGCTGTACATAATCACAGTAGCACAGACATCCGTTCAGACATCTCTGAACAGATACCTATTAAGGCTATGCTCCAATCACAAATATAATTTAACTGAGTTGAATTTAGAAACCTTACAGTTTTATTCATCCATTGTCTTTCCACTGGGTATTTCTTAGGCACAAGTAATGCAAGTTTGGCTGTTTTGCAAGTATGTTAGTGATGCAGTCCTCATTACCTCCAATATCGACAGCAGTAAATATGTACAGTTTCACTGCAAGCTGCTCTCAGTGTATATTATGTGATCATTAATGTTGCACATAACTATTCTAGAGTAGGTGTTATTTGTTTTTCAAGTTCTTCACTACAGGTAGGTGACACAATAAATTATTATTATTTATTTTTTTTTACAAGAAATTTTGAATTAATCAAATAAATTATTGATTTAGTTTTTTAAAGGATCAGGCTCCTATCATTTTTAATATTCCTTCTGACTTCAGACCTGTTAGATAAGCAAAATGACTGCTATTCAGGAAAAGATAGAAAGAGACAAACACTGGCTTTCTTTACAGGAGGAAATAAAACCAAACAAAGCATCCCTCCCATTAACCGAGCTCTCACTTTCATGTTATTTTTTTAAGAAAATGTAGTTCATTTGAAGTATGTTAAAAAAAGTATGGTGAAAAATCATTTACATGGTTTAAAATATTTAGTTTTAATTGGAGTGTTTAATAATAAACTCACAATTACCTTTAGCTGAGCTAGGCCGTTTATTTGCATAGGCACCAGTTGTGGAATTTCTTCATCATCAGCATGTTCCTCTGGTTCTTGGACTACTTTTTCCTTTATCGCAAACTCTTGGGTAGCAGCAGTGCCCTTATTTTTAGTTGTCACTGTACTTTGTCTTGAATTTGTCTTTTTAGCTGTCTTCTTTGGTTTCTTTTTCCTTTCCTTTAGAATTAATTTGAAGTACAACTCAGAGAAATCCCCACAACATTTCTAAACATAAAACAATTGTTTTCATATGTCTAAAAGTAACGAAGTCTAGCAACAAATTGAAATGTTTTTCAATTGAACTGGGCTGGTCAACCATAAGTAAAATACGAAAAAAAGATGTGTTACTTTCAGCATAGGGGAAACTCATAAATAAATGATATAACTGTAAAGATTAAAGTTTTCAAGATGTATGTATGTGCTACCAATTTGTTTTAGACACAGATTTAACAGACAGAACACAAAATAAAGGGATAGCTATTTTTACTTTTTAATGTAGATGAAGTTCTCCCCACCAATCCTTTGCAAAATAAGATACAAATATCTAAGAGTGGGAATTATTCACATGCCACAATTGACACGGTCTAAATCCATGTATATGTTAATGAATGCAGTTTCAGTAAGTGAATATGAATAAACAAATATGAATTCAAGCAAAAGTTCTGAGAAGTAATCTCAGCTGAGCTGACTAGAAACCAGCTTATTTCCAGCTTGGTTTGTAACCTCCTGGGGGAGTTTCAATGATTTCTTGCTACTGTGTATTGGAAGTGCCCATAGTCAGGAGTGCCTGACCCATCTGTAGCCATAGTTGCCTTCAATCCACTGATCAGATTTGTAAACCCAACAAGTTAGATTTATACTGCATAAAAAGAAGCCAAACAACTAGTGGCTCCAGTACAGTTTTATGGAAAGTTTTACATTTTTTTGAATTGTTACCTCTCCTTGCTTTTTATCGACATTCGGCTCTTTATCAAGCTCATCTAAGTTGGATATTCGTGCAGTAAAAATTGGAAGTGATACTGATTTAAGTGTCTTGAGGTGAAGAACTTTCACGTTTTTCCAATTCTGCAAACACAAAACAACATCTATTATGTAAGAACTGTCGTGGCTTCAGCTACATTGTTCATAATTCGATGCAATGAATCTGCAGTACCTTTGGTAACTTCTTAGCAATCACCTCAGCTGCTGCAATGATGTTGTCTAGTATCTCATCAGCTTTCATTCCAGTGTGGCCTATACGCGTTGTACTGGAAGTAGGAAAGAGTAATATTTATATGTGGGCAAGTAAAAACACTAAGTTATTTGTTCTTAAGTATACCCAAAAATGAAAAAAGCCCACTTATCTGCAGCTATCTTGGTCTGCACACAGGATGGCTGACTACTAAAGAATTCTTTTGTCATAAAAGTCACAACAGTTGCACATACTGAGTTTTCTACATTATGAAATGCAATTCTGCCTTATACTGCCGAGATAGGTTTAGGTTTAGATCATTTAGACGCACTATAAATGAAAAAATTCTTGTACAATATTTTGGGAGGAGTTCTTAGCTAATTAAACAGTAATTATTTTTTAGGACCATACATGCTATTTGTCAGTGATACTTACCTAGAAATTCCTTACCTATTCAGAAAAAAACCCCCAACTTTATGACTTCTTAGTAAATAGAATTATGATTCTCTTTATACAACTTAAGGTTCAAAAAGACCCATACCTAGAACGATCACCCTTGACCCACTGTTGAAGTTAATAGGTGAAATAACTCAGAATTCCTACAGTTAAGGTATAATAGCTCTTCATGCACAGTATTAAGCTGTTCATACTTACTAACAGCACCCTTTGTTGGTAACTGGTAGTACAGTACCCTGAATATGCTTTTGTAGCTCCTTAGCAAGATTTTTGGCTTTCAAGTTTACAGATAAAGGTGCCCTAAAAAGAAAAAAAGTGAAGGGAATAAGAGTTAAAAAACAAAACAAAACATCAAGCAAACTAGCAAACCTTCAGTAGAACAATCAAATCTTTAAAAAATAATAATTCAAAACGGATAGACAGAATTTTAGGACCAACTTTTTCTTTTCATAGAAGTGTTTTCCTAGATGGGAGGGCAAGAGCCTTCTGATTCGGTCATCAGATAGAAAGAGATCAAATCTGTTCAGGAGGCGACGCTTTGCTTCAAAAGGTTTATATTCTTTTTTGAGAGTTTTGTAGGAGATGACCTACAACAAAAGTAGTTGAAAACACAGCAAACACAGCAGTGAGTACTTCTTATAACTGAACATAATTAACTTGTCTTAACTAACAGTTATACATGTTTTAGAACGTTAAATCAATAGAAAAAAGACACTGGTTTTCAATTTTAAGAATCAGACAACACAGATTCCTTGTACAGTATAACCAAACAGAACTAGAACACACAGCAACATCTAAACTTAGATAAATACAGCAATAGAAAATATTTTCCTGTTTTATTGTGAGTTGTATAAGTGATTCAATCCAGCTGCAAAGGGCTTGAATATTCTGCACTGTACCTAAAAAAGTTCAAATCCAATACTTAACATTTATCTAACAATTACACCTGAATGCTACAGATATAATTTTAAGTTGTTCTGAATAAATTCTGTAATTTGAAAAATGAACAGTTTGAATACTCAGAAAAATCTTCTGCGAGATTAACCTGGAACCACTGAATTTAGAATATTAAGTAGCAGTTTCCCTTTTCACTGGTACAAGAAAAACACAGTGATACTGCACTGCATCATCAATCTCCCTTACCTGGCTAACAGTCGTGATTCCATTCTGAGTTAGAAGTTTCCTATAAAGACTTTCTGTCTGTTCTGCAGACAGATCTGGTTCGTCCTTTGTGAACAAGCACACCTCAGCTGTTTCTGCTCGAATGCCGTGGGGCAGCGGTCTACAATAAGAACATCGACGGAAAGGAGGCAAAAGCGCGTTACAGAACTAGGTCTCCACTGCTGCAGGCGGGCAGCGCTCAGAGCCAGCCCGGGAGGTGCCACAATGGGGCCGCGGCGCTCCGACTCTCCAAGCCCACAACCTGCACAGCGCTCCTTCCCTAGTCAAAGGACACGAGAACTCCCGCAGCCTCTGGGCCAAAGGTACGTTTCTTACATTTTGATTACTTGAGCCACGCGTGGGATCTTCCAGACCGTCACCAGGAGGTGCACGCTCTCGTTCTCGTTGAGGAGCAGCTCGTCTCCCTTAGCCTTGCTTCTCGCGAAAGCCAGAAGGGCCTCCACCGCTTTCCTCACCTGCAACAACAATAACAGCTGGAGCGGAGCGGAGAGAGCGGAGCTGAGCCTAGTCCGCCACCCCTCAGCACCTGCCCACGCTCCAGCTTCTGCTGCCCCTTCGCCATGGCTCCACCCGCACACGTGCGGTCACCGCGCCTGCGCACTGCTTCTTTCCGGGCACGATGCGGCCTGCCCGCCCCTTCCGCAGGCAATGGCCTTCTGTCGCGTAGGGGCGGGGCGGGTATGGGGAGGTTCTTTCTGCTGCTGGTCTGAGGGGGAGTGGTGTGCTGCTCCGGGCGGAGTACGGAGCGTAATCTTTACTTCAGACCCCACTGCTCTGTTGCTCTTAGATTGCCTTCCTGGTATATCTTTGAGAGTGGGTGGAACACTTGCTGCTCTTCAGCCCTTGGAACCTTTCTCAGTTTCCTTTCACAGCATTAGAAGCTGTTGACCTTGATGGCCCCAGATACCCTCAATTCTAGGTGAGCTTTTCTCCCGTGGCAATGCCTACATGCCTGAGCAACGTTTCTAGGTTCCTTCTTTGCAGCCTGTCCTTGGTTTTATCTGGTTTTACCTGTATTACTGACCTTTTGCACTGGAATGCAGCTATAAGGTCCCTATTTAGCCAAGCCAATCTCTTGATAGATTTGCTTGTCTTCCAGTGTGAGAGAGTGCTTCCATTGCAATTTGAAGGGGTTGTCTTCAAAGCTCTGCTGCCAGCCTTTCTGAGCACCTTTGCCTTTCAGAGCTGCCTCTAATGAGACCCCACCTCCTGGTTGCCAAAATCTCCCTCCTAAAGTCCAGGGTCTGTTCTCTGCTACTCATCTTCTTCACACCCCTCAGCATCTCAAATTCCACTATTTCTTTGTCACTGCAGCTGAGGCCACCATTGATTATCACACATAAAACCACTTATTCCTTATCTGTGAACCGTAAAAGTAGAATTACTGCATCTCTGTTCCAGTTTAGAAACTTACTGACTAATTGGAAACAGCTTAGCCGTGAAATGCTTGTGCCACCTAGTGGCTTTTTTTCTTCACGTATCAGCATAATTTTCTACATGCTCAGCGTGCTGGTATACAGAGAAAGGAATTAAAATACCCTACTCAGGAAAATCACCTTTGCGTAATAATGTTTTCACTCTGCTGGTAGTATTCACAGTGGCTTCGAGGCTTCTCCAGCATTGGTGACAACCTTTGGTAGCAGCTTTAGCACTGCTTAGTTGCATCTTCACGGTTTGTAATGTCACAGGCGTACGGGAAGTAGAAGATTGCACACTATTTGACTTAACGTAAGTTGCTGTAGATAAGTTGTACTGATTGATACTAGTGAAAAAAACCCTTGAAAATGGAAGTTTCACCTTTCTATTGTGTGATTTTTGGACAAGTACCATAAATGGTTGCTGTGTAGTTGTTTTATGAAGTTCTTGAAGAGTACGTAATCAGGCAGACATTAAAATCTTTTTAGCATTGCTAGGATTTATGTGTACTGTGATGCTGGCAGTGGTGTTTTATAATCTGATAATTATATTACCCTTTCTCCTATCTTTGCATAGGCCTTGCAATTTTTTTTAGCTGATGTTCAACATATTTTTGTATGATGTTAAAATAAAACAGAAAAGATAACTCTTTGAAAATAAGCTAGACTGCTGTTGTAAGAGGTGAAAGAAGTGTGTTTGAAGCCTGACTGTACTAAGTCAGTACAGCATTATTAAGATAAAGGGACTGTTATTTTGAATTACTATTATTAATGACTCAAATTAAAAATTCTCACATTTCAGTGTCAACCAAACACATTTTTTCCCACAACTGAAGTTTGATGTGACTGAATTTCAAAAGATAAAGTTTAACCAACTTAATAGGACCATTTTCTCTTGAGAGGTGTTTAATATAGTTCACAGAGCTGTCATGGAAAAATAAATTAATCCGTGGATAAGAACAGTTTCAGCTTAGTACATGAGTTGCATGCAATGGGTATAAACTATGAACGACATGCTTTTAGTTTGGCAAATTCACAGTTATTCAATTTTTAAAGGAAATTAAATATTACTTTTGCATATGTTGTCCCTGCACACCAAACATTCTCTGCTGTAGTGGTCAGTTTAGGTCTCTGCTTACAAATGTGTGTATTTTTCTCTAAGTCATGTCACACTTATGTAAACGTGATGATTTAAAATTACATACTTGCCAGCCATTCCACATTATTACTTAAATGTTGCTAAATGAGACAGTATTTCTATATCACCCTAATTTTATACTTTGTCCTGGCAAAGGGGATGTACAAGCAGCAATTATTTCTGCTGCTAACAGATCTTTGAGGTTTAAGATTGGTTCTTCTACTGTGCATTCCAAAAGTTCCAATACCAGACTTGTATTCCTCCAACTTATCAGATGGCAGATGTAAAATTCCTAAATCTCACTTTATAAAGTATACTTGCAACAAAAGCAGCACAAAGAATACAGAAATTAAGAAAAAAAACAACAAAAGAACAAGTACACTTAAAGAGACTTCAAAAGAGGATCCTCCTGCTACTTCTGGAGTTCAAACAGTGTTCTTTAGATTGAGTTCTTCTGCGTAAGCATCTAGCTATAATTTAATTAACTGCCAGCTAGATGGGTGCTTATGTGCCAAGTTATTAAAGAACTACTGTTTCAGGAGAACAGAGGCACCTGTCTTCGTGACACAAGCTGTACAGTTTTTTTTTGTTAAAATCCTTTGCCTATTATCAGTTCTACAGGCTTAACAAATGACAAGAACTCAGTCTCAAGTACATTCTTTTCATCCAAGTTTGTCTATAATCTATTACTTTTCCTATTCAGAAGAATTTTTTGTATCTCTGTAGTTAACTGAAGTGAGATGTAGAAAAATCCAGCTTATGTTGGAAGTTGAGACTTTGATGAAAGCCTGTTATTAGAAGTTACATATATGCACAACAGATTTCACTTTTGTTAACATAAGTTTCCATTTTATATTAAGACTAGACTACTTTCTAGCATTTCTTCAGAGGAAAAGAAAGATTTTGTTACAGTTGTAGTGTGTTAAAATAAACACAAGGAAATAAACAGGTACACAATATAAAATCTTCAGTAGTAACTCCAGTTTTGTTGGTATATTTTCCTTTAGCAAATCCTCTGTGGGGCATACAAAAACAGCAGAATAAGTAAGAGCCTTTAAGTTTCAGTTCAGGAAGAAGACAGTCTTCTGGAGTACATTTCATCTGCTTTAACATCATCATTTAAACACTCTGCATTAAGAACAAAAAGGCCAGAGTAATACAGAATCAAATACTTGGGACAATGGAAACAATCTTTTTTCTTAAGTAATATTCATTAATAAACACTTATAAAAACACATTTCTCATAATTAAAAGTTTGTATGGACTGGTACCATAATTGGTCTAAACCAGAGATTCTTCATTGAGCAATCTTTGCTGGGCCTTTATGCCATGAAAAACATTTGTATAAGGGGATAAAGTTCACAATCAGCAAGTATCTCCACGGACAAGCTTCTTTAGAGCAGCCATTTTTCTTACAACACTATTATACCATCATCAATTGCTTACTGTTTAAGAATACAGTTTACTCCCAGAACAAGTGTCTCAGGAAATCAGTACCATCATGTGTTTGTGTATTAGTTCCCAACTGTCTGCAAAGATGACCAAGGTAACCAGAATGATTTCAGGTAGATGGGTAATGGTTATGCTCATCAACTGATGGCTGTGCTCATCACTCCATTTAGTGTCCTTTACTTCTTGCAAGATATAGAAACAAGTAATTTTTGTGTTGCAAATTAATTAGTACAGCTGCACACTTTAACATTTAATAATTGTTACATATATCAAGACTTCCATTTAAATGACATACAGGGTCTTAATTTACATTGTTGTCATTTGTTTTTGTAATTTACATCATGGCTGTACATTGAAGCCATATCTATACTATAAACTTTGGCCAATAATCAGGGAAAATAGCTGCAATCCTGATGAGCACCGCACAGAAAAGTGCTGTGTAAATGCAATTGTACTGGGGGAAAAAACTAGAATCCTTCCTTCCTTCCTGCAGAAACTCCATCACAGTTTTGCTGGTGTAAGTTACAGCCCAGAACCCAGGAATACTCTGCTGGTATCACAGATAATAGCAAAGCTGCAGTGGCAGTAGTCCTAGGGTTGCCCGTAGCTTCAGTCCAATTTTTCTTGTTTGCTTGCTTACTTTTTTTTTTTTAGCACTGTGGGTGCAGTTCCTGATTTTTCTTTTTCCATCTTCAAAGCAGCATACCAGATTTTGATAAAAGGAAGTGCTCAAAATGGTAGTTAAAAAAAAAAAAAATTACATTAGGGAAGCAGCAGCTAACAATTATTTCAAGCAAAGCTGCACTTTCCCCCTTTCCTCTAGATCTAGCTGAACTCGCTAATTGTAAAAAATGAGTCTATAAAATGTAGAATGGAGGTGTAATGAAAAAAATCTGATTCTGTAATTACTCAAATATAATGTACTCTCATATCCTCTATTTAAAATGCAGGCAATTTTTGTACATCTATACATTTTCGTATCATTATGGTATAGAGTGTAAGTACTTTATTCTCAAGTATAAACTTAACACAATGTAGTAAACCTAACTGCAATATGTAAATTCTGTTAATGAACTTGAAACAATTTAATTTCCCTTCCCGGGTGAGGTGACAGTTAACTGCATTTATGGGAGTGGTAATCAAATGCTCGAGATGAGTTATGGAAATGCTAAGAGATGCTACCTACTAGCATTTCAGCCCACCAGATAATTTCTCATTTTGCTAATAAATACTAACTCCTACCTCAATGTAGTGAAGTTTTACAAATCCTCATTAAGTTTACAGTAAAGAGAAAAATTCCACTGGAGCACCACATAGTCTTGAAATGCATTTGAACAACAACAAAAAAATTAAGAGTTCTAGCAATTTAGGAATTACATATTCTCCACTAGTAGTAGTAAATTTTAAATTCATGAGCTTGCTTTGAGAAAGAAATACAAGACTTGTAGAAATCTTAAATTAATCTAGAATAAGAAAAAGAGTTATTTTCCTTGGCTTTTAATTTCTTCATTAGTTTAAGAAATAAGGAATTCTGGTTTTTGTTAACTTAATACGGGGGGAAAAAAGGTACTTTTAAACTCTGATCTACAAAAAAAAAAAAAAAAAAAAAAAAAAAGCCCAGAGATTTGCAGACATAATAAAATTTATTTCAATTCCATGCATTACGGTAGCTACAAGTGTACTCATATGAAACTGAAGGACAATAACTTCTTCTGTCCATACAATGTAGCTGTAAGTGAAATGAATGGGAATTCCACAGTTACAAAGAAACAAAACAAAAAAAAAAACCAAACAAAAAACCCCCAAAGGGTAAATCTGTTTCAGTTCTGAGTTCTGTAAATTCAGATACAGTCACTTGATTGTGAACTTTTGGGAGAAGGGGTGGCCTTGCCACAATTATACAACTGAAAGTGTTCAAGGCCTTCTGAAGAAGCTCTGAATATACCTTTTACTACTTCCTACTAATACTCTGGAAAATTAAAAAAAAAAAAAAAAAAAAAAAAGCCTTCATCCTGATCATTAGAATCAGGATCGCAATTGTAGACAGTCCACCTTAAAAGTGCAGCTAAATAGGGTTTAATTCTGCAGCTCCTTCAAGTTGTACTGAGAGTAAGATTTACGCTGAACCAGTTTCACTTCTCACTTCCCAAGAAAAAGGTCACCTGTCCTTACATTGCTTTTTGATATGCAAAAGTTTACAGTCTATGATTGATTCTGATCCTCCTATATTTCAATATGTGCAAACTCTTGGGGATTTAAATAGTCTTTCTCCCTCAGAACTTTCAAACAGCAAGGATTATCCAAGCCCTGTAAATTAAAGGCAGGACAAACTGAATAACTTACATAACTGGCACATTTTAATTGACCCAGTTCTCCCACAAAATGCAGCTCTTACAAATATTAGTAGGCACTACTGCCACCAATTTTTGTTTTTGCAGTTTCACTGATTTACCGGTTGTTGGAATTCTCTGCAGATAAGAATTTTAAAATGCTGGATTTTTATAAAGACAATGTGTAGTTCTAGTCTGCAAAATTGACTGTGTCTTATAGTGATGTTAAGTCTACCTAAATTTGCTGAAAATATTAATAAATGTAAAACTAGTGAAAGTGCCACATTAGCACAAATGTTTTTAATTTTAAAGATGCACTGAGCGAAGGAAAGGGGCAAAAGGAATTATCTAATTACAAACTTAGTTGAGTGCCTAATTGCCTCATTTAAAACCGTGCATGTGGGGAGGCTGAGAAGTTTAGAAAAATCCAAGTATCCAAATATCTGGTTACTGGACAGTTAAAAAGCTAATGCAATTGTTTGGATAAAAAACATTATTCAAAAGCAATTCAAATACTGAAAAAGATTTCAAATTGAATAGTTTTTATTAACATGGTAGTCATCTTTGTAACATGTGCACACACACTCGCACACTCTGAATTATCTGCCTTGAAAAAAAAAAGTCTCTATATGTCAGGGGAAATTAAACATTAAAAATCCATTAGAATTTCGTAATTATAGGCAATTATGTCCACATGACTACAAAGCTATTGCCGAATCTTTCCAAGGAAGCAGAATTTGGGAGAAAAAAAATTTTGGGGGGAAATTCAGTGGCATAGCAGAGCTCTCAATATGAGAAAGCTGACATAATGTGGACCTTTGCTGTGAAATTTGTCTTTGCAAAATATGGGGAGAAGTTAATTAATGGGCAGAAAATAAGAAGGCGGAGTGAAGTAGGCTTCTGCAGAGTCGGTTTTCCTCACAGTATTACGCGGGGGTCATTGAGAAAAATGCTTAGTCCTTCTCTGGAACCAGTTTCAGAACTTTTCCAATTGCAATGGTCTTACCTAAACCAAGGAGACAAACACCACAGTTACATACATTGTAGAAAAAAATATGCACAATCCCTTACGAGCACAAAAGCTTTCGCCAGAAACACAGGCTGTCCAGCGTACCAGAAATAATATAGATAATAAATTTCTGTGTTGCATGATGAAAGCACCAATGTATTTTAGAAGTACTATAAAAGAGTAAATAGAAATAGTAAAACCTGTTGTTTTCATATTGGAACATACATTACAGATCACGGAAAGTGTGCTCTGTATCCAGTTAAGCAGAATGCAAAGCTGAATCCTTCTGCCAGATCTGTTTATTTCTTTTAAAGATAACAGTTGTATCTTTTTGGTCTCTCAATAGAGATACTATGGTATTTGTATCCTGGGTAGACATTCCAGGATGCATTAGGAGAACAGTGCTCATAGTTCTTCAAATTCAGCCCTTTATCTCAACAGTGTACCTTTCTGTTAATTATTCCTCTAACATAAAACATACTAAATTCTAGCAAGAACTTCAACCAACAATAATTTTTATTTACTTTCTGCTGTTACACAGACACAGTAATTTCAACTAGATGTTGGCAATGCTTCATTGTCATGCACAATCTATTTGTAATAACTGTATTTTTGCAGCACTCTTACCCTCATCTCTTAAGGTAAAGCGACCCATCTGAGGGAAATCTTTGAATGTCTCAAGGCAGATAGTTCCTGCTGTCCTTAAACGAGCAATGCATACTTGATCTTGTTTCACAAAGCGAGGCCGTGTCTTACTTTTTTCTCCTGTTTTTTTGTCCACCAAGCAGATTAAGGCCTGTAAAAGAGGAAATAATATTTAGTATTATTAATAGCTGTGAATGCTAAAGCAGTGGTTATTTCTTTTAAGACTTACTGCATAAAATAATCCATCTTCACTGAAGATCTGTGCTAACAGCTACAGCCATTTTTGGAACTTTGTTTCATTAGTCACTCTAGAGAACTCTTCACCCCGGTAAGTACATTGACTAGATTCATATCACAACTTACTGTTATCTCAACTTCTTCAATACAGGTGTGGATGTGCAGCACAGCATTGTAACCTGGGCAGATAATGGATTTGTGCTCAATTATCACTATCTGTAAGAAAAAAAAAAAAAAAAAGTTCATTTCTCCTTTTCTTCAACTCATAAGAGAGCAGAGAACAACTAAACAAAGAACTATTAAAATGTAATTCAACACACAAGCATAACATCTTTGTTAGATGAAGACTTGGAGATGACTAAGTTGTTTCTAACTGAAGAATTGTTTTGACAAGATCCTGTTCTTTACGTTATAGGTGTATAAAACTTAACTAAGTTACATTCAAAACAAACAACATTTTTTAAACTCAGACTGATGAGGTCAGAATAGCTTTGTATATTATTGTCAGTTAGTTCAGAGATACAATAACAAATGAGAGGTCTCAAATGAAACTGCTAAAAATTAGGTTTGGTGGAACAGGCAAAATATTTTGATGCTTTTTTACCCACTTACACAGCAATCAAATGTTAATTATTCTACCTGGGCATCAAACGTGCGTCCAGAATGACACAGGTTGTTGGAATCACAGAGAATAAATCCTGGCAGGATCTCTTCCTCTTCAATTCCCTTCAGTCTGATCTTTAAATTTTCACCTGGGGCTACTGAATCAGTTTCTACATCATCAGAAAGGATTCCAAGAACTTCCACGTTGTGCTTTAGGCAAAAAAATGCAGTTTTCTGTTATGAATAGTTTAGTCTGGTACAAAATCACTTCAGTATAACAGGATTTCAATAAATAAACTCATTATCATTTAATTCCATTATATTCAGTTTTGTAAGCTTCAAAAAACAAAACATTTGAGTGATGAGTCATTAGAATTCAAAGCAGTGTATTTATTAAAAAAGATTTTATTTCATATAATTCTATATCATATGTTTAATAGAAAGAAAGCAGATTTCAAAATATATCCACTGTGTCTCAAAATAAAATTAGTTCAAAAAATTTACTAAGATATGAGAGGGACAATAGATGCAAACTGCTAACTAAGGAGAATGCAACCTATATTGTTGTGCAGTCATTACATTCCAAATGAAATAGCTTGAATACAAATGTGATCCATGAAATCCTTCAGTATCAGAATTCTACAAGATCTATTTTTATCATCTTCTCCAAAAAACAGATTCACGAACGCTCTAAAAAGAAATAAAAACTTATTTCCTTGATCTTTCTATATGCTGTAATGTCTCTTCTAATTTTGTGTGTGTGCGTGTGTGTTACTAGCCAATATAAAACATAGGAGCTTTTTCAGAAAAAGTTCCTGAAGCTTAGGTTAAATACTCATTAACTGCAAAAGCAACTAATAAAAGAAGAATGTCATTAAAAACACTGGATATTTCCTGAATAAAAATTCTGTAATAGTTTGGTTAAACACATTTAGAATCTCTTATTTTCTCCACTCAACCCCAAAATAACAAGCAGTAGTTTTATAAAAAGCTGTTGTCTGTTAAATGACCTTAAGAAAGCTTAAGTGATCTTAAGTAATCTTACTGAAGCTGACATACTTTGATTAAGAAATACCAGCTTTCAGTTAGCTATAGATGTGTTGTACATTTGAGTATCAAGACATTTTCTAGCAAACTAGCTCAGTGTATAGAACTGGAAAAAGTGCCAGGTTAAACAAGATGACAAATAGTTAAGAGCAAAATTTCCTTTTTGCTTTTTTTGTAAGAAGGGAAGGAAAGGGGAGGGAGGTAAGGTTCGGTAAGGGAAGCAAATACAACCATTATTTCAGTACAATAGTCTTCTCTATCTCCCAAACTGTATTTTCAAATTCTTCATTTTTATATTCTCTTCAGGTCAATGATTTCAAATAACAATTTTACATTAAGTTACAGCAGCCTACCTACATAACCTACTCTTAACTAGAGCCATCCTTAGGTTTTTTGTGGGCCCTCTAATAAGTACAACACAAAACACTTTAAACTGTTTGTTTGTAGCACTAGTGATTTAGTTTACAAAAAAAGATATAATGTGAGTTATGAATGCTAAGGAAATGAATGACACACATACATGTATGTGTATATACACCTAGGAACGTCAGTTGTTATTTGAGTCCTTAATTCCTCTCAACTGAATAGAAATTGTTCTGATTTAAAGTAGTAAATTAATACATTTAAGAATCAAGCTGTTTTCAGAGTAGAAATATTTTCTAAATATCTAAACCTTACCATACCTTGTTTGGCATCATCACAAGCTGTTGTCCTTTGCAAATTGAGCCTGATTCCAGCTTTCCAAGGACCACAGTGCCCATATCCTTCATGAAAATAAATTGGTACATTAAAAATTCAAAACATTTTTTTCCTCAAGAGTCTGCTTTATAATACTTAGAAAAGTGTAATTACTTAACCCTATGAAGTTATAAAGCACAGCAATACTTGATGTTTTGGAAACTGTTCTCACAAAACATTACAGATTAGGAGTCTTAATGTCAGTGACTTACTTCCCCTCTGTCATTATTCCACAGTTGGAAAGACAAAACAATACCCTCTAGAAAAACAATAGTCAATTTACTGCTTTCTGAAAATAAACCACTTATCTTTTCAGTACTATCATTTTAATTTGTACCTTATATTTATCCACAATTGGCAGCCTGATTGGTCCGTCAGCTGAACGGTTGAAGTTTGGCAAGTTATCCAGATATGGAATAAATGGTAATCCACTAAAAGGAGAAGGCATTAATTTTAATTATACAAGCACCCATCTAATTAAAAAAAATACTCAGAGTGAACAAATGCAGTTTCACAAAGGGAAATATTTTCATATGTTATTGTTGATCACTGTGCCCTCTAATAGATAGCTGTATCCATCATAACATCCCATCATTAGTGTTCACATCACCCAAGCTAACACTTTATACCTAGGAAGTGCACATGATTATGTAACATTTTAGGTATATTTTACACATTATTCCCTTGACAATCTCAATACAGTGTATTGCTCAATACACTTAGTATGTTTTGAATAGTCAAAACCCATCAGATAGTTTCAAATATGATTTTTGTTAATGTTTTAACTGCTATCAAGAATACTGGAAAACATGATGTCTAGTACTCCTATTTGTGGCTTGTCACTAATTATAATACAGTTTCAAGCAAACTTCACATCAAAACAGTTACTCATCCTAGCAATGTATGCAATCACTGATAATCTGAAATGGTAGTAAGGCATTTAATTCCACAAAGGCAAAATTTAATAAATACTAATACTTTTACAGAATCTGCTAACTCCAACCTTTTATGGCTTTCATGTTCAGGGCTCTGTGTTCTTCCTGCCATACTCATACTTCCTCAAGTACTTCAGCCAATGATTCTTAAACACAGATATAATATGCCAAGCTATACTTCCAACTTTCACTGTAGCATTTATTCCTATTGAAATGTAACTAATATGCAAGCCATTAAATTTAAGATACATACATATACCAAGGACAGAATTCAGACTGTTCCTTAAGATTTGCTCCAGTGAGTCCTGAGCAGGGCATGAAATGAATATCTTTCTTGGGATTAAAGCCAACTTTCTTCAAAAATGGAACCAGTTTCTCTTTACATTCCTCGTATCTATTTGAAATGAGCAGTACATCAAAACTTGAATTTTTCAAACATGACATAACAACAAAATCAGCCTTATTTAAATTCTCAGCAGTTATTTTGTAAACAGCAAAACTAATAAATCTCGGTGGGCTAACTGCATTTTCTCCCCAATCTTTCAGTACAACTGAGTAGTGCCTATTTCCCTTATTCCTCTGCTCCATAGAGCACAACTAGTTTTCTCCCACTGACCAATTAATGGATGGATAAACAGCAGCACATACCAGATAAACTTTTAAGCAAGAGGCACAGGGCAAGATACCAGGACAGACAAAGTAGATAGCTACTGAGATCATTCTGCAGGCTTTTATGCTACTGACGTCTTTGTTTCTTCCCATATTCTATATCATTTCACAAGACAATGCTGTTTCTATTATGCTTGTTCCCTTTGGTTTCTGCTGAATTCAGTAACGTCACAAATTCTAGGAAGGTTGGGGCACAACCAAGAGAGAACAATTGGCCTTGCCTTATTCAAGTAGCACACCAAACTGATGTAAGGTTGCATAATCCCCGATAGCTTTCCTCAAAAACTTTCATGATTCTTGACAGCATGGCAGGTACTCTGACAGCTATTCTTATTGCAGGAAGAACTGTAACCCGTCACTACAAAAACATCTCTAGGGAAACGCTGTTCTCACCAAACCTAAGCTAGGAGTTTAACAGACACATGGCCAAGCAATCAAGAACTGGCAAATTAAACTACAGAAAGCAAAATTTCCTCTCAAGTTCAGTATAAAGTTTCAAGGTTTCCAGAAAAAAAAAAAAAAAAAAAAAGACACAAAATAAGTTAAAAAATAGCTTATTTTGATATCTTTTGATGAAATTTTCATTGTTATGTTAAACTCACCTTTCATTACTCCAGTTTACAGTTGGATCATCCATTTTATTAATAAGAACTATTAAATGTTTTACACCTGCTGTTTTTGCTAACATGGCATGTTCTCTCGTCTGTCCACCTTTTTCAAATCCAGTTTCAAACTCTCCTTTTCTTGCAGAAATAACCTAGTTAAGAGTGCATATTTTAATAATAAGCTCTACAGTTCTCTCAGTAGAACAACAGACAATGGATAATATTACTACCAAAGTTATTTTGGATTAAGGTCAAAATTGATAAAAGCTTGGAAAATATACTGGTATAGCCTGAATATTATCCATCAGTTTCTGCACTAATGTATATAGAAACCACACAGTAATTGTGAACTATTTTAAAAAGCTCTTCAGTTACTCCAAAAGATACTTCAGATTTTTAAATTTTGGCTACTTTAGCAACCAAATGAGTAAATAAAGTAAGTCAAAAGCATAATTCCACAATACATCCAAAACAGAACAGTCTAATTTGACCTTACCAGCACTGCAAGATCAGCTTGAGAAGCTCCACCAATCATATTTGGAACAAAGCTCTTATGCCCAGGAGCATCTAGAATAGTGAAGTGTTTCTTCTCAGTTTCAAAGTAGGCACGACCTACTTCTACTGTTTTACCTTTGTCACGTTCTTCTTGGTTTGTGTCTAGGGCCCATGAAAGGTACCTACAAAAAACACATATTGTTTTTATATTAATTTTTACTTAAGTATGAACATTTGGTTATCATAAAATTTCTTTTTCCCTTAACAATTCTTAATCACATAAACACTACCAAACTAAAGCATTTTCCAACACCAATAGTGACTTCTTAGAATGTTATTTGAGTTTTACTGCCCAGTGCTAGCTGTCCTACACATAAACTCTGTGCAATTCTGAACAACGGTTTTCAATTCCTAAGTTCTCCAGGTATGATCTAACCTCAAATACTACAGCACTGAGCTTCCCTCAAGTTTGAAAAACAAACTTGTGTGGATCGAACACAAACCCATTCCCTTTTTGAACATAATTAACAGTTCTGATTTGCAAGTATTTTTTTGCTTCAAAATTAAGCAGAAGTTGGCTGAAATAGATGTTGGAGTTAAGTTTAGACAAATGAAGTGAAGAATAAACTGTCAAAAAAAAGATCTTTATTTCAGGATTTAAAAAAAAAAAATAAAATAAAAATCGATGAACAGAAGAGAGAGAATCCAAGTAACACTCAATAAGTAGTAATAATTGAACTGGCTTAAAAACAGTTATTTTTAAGTGTTAACTGCAGCTTAGTTTAACTTTTCTATTGTCTTGATGATTTCTAAAGAGATAGTTGCTAACTCAGCTGAGCAGTAATCAAGAGATGGAACTTCAGGGACCATGTAACTCACAGACATTATGTTCAGCTCCATGGAGTCAGAGGATACACTAAATACTGGGAATTACAGTTACACAATCACACTCTTCCCTAGGGAGAAGCTAGGTTTTTTGATACTCACTGAAGTCTAGATAGTGAGCTAGATAGCAACAGTGCACATGATCTTATGCATTGTAATCATGCTGTTGTAAACCATGGCTGGAAGATTTCAGTCAAGTTACAGGTCAAGTTTTTCTCAGCTTACAGAAGTCAAACAGGAAACCAATGCATGGTAACTGGATAACAAAGCTTCTTTTGCACTTTGCTTTTTAAGAAAGGAAATGTATCTTTGAAATTTGAACTGCACTGAAGGGTATTTATTTTTTAAATCATAAAGTGAAATTGTTCAAATTTCAAGACTCTCAACATGCAAAACAAGATCTCCAGTAACGACAGATGCGCAGTATTTTCTGTTGTATATCAGGATGTAATTTAAGGAATAAAAATAGTGTTCAATTGCTACTCTCTTAAAAAAAAAAAAAAAAAGAGAGAAAATCTGTGTCCAAGTTGGCCATCAATATTTAGAAATGTTCCTAAATACTCATTATCATGGCCAAATTCCAACAGGGGAAATTATGCTTGCTTGATAAAAAAGTAACACACGTCACCCTTTCTACCCCTTTACCTCTCACATATAATACAGTTAATTCAGGTCAATGCCCACTCCTAGAGAGTTCCACTGCTGTTCTCTTGCTAAGAAAGTTTTTGGCTGCTGCTGTTCCAACTCCCCATTTCCCTATGACAGCTAAAAATGAAAAGGTTCAAAGTAAAATCAATTTTCCAGGAGCTGTTTGACAGAGAACACAGGCTGCCATACATGCTCCATGTGTGTATACAATAAACAAACGAAGAAAAAACACACTACAAACAAGACCCCAGAATCTATACATGACAGCATCGTCTTGCCTGGTAGAAACTTAAGAACACTAGACCAACACTAGACCCCATGTGCTCTCTCATTTTTCATACAAATAAATGTCAATGCCAGAACTATCCACTTGATCTTTTCTCGTATCTTCTACACTGACAATTTTGATCTCAATCTTTTAGGTCCCTCTCTGCTGTTTACAGGTGAAAGACACAAATTGAATGAACACAAGAGATGTTTGAGAAAAGCATCTGCTTTGTATTCCTTTTACCAGACAACTAGGCATGGTTCTAAGATTAAAAAAAAAAAAAAAAAAAAGATAAAAAGGGAAAATAAAAAGCAATAAAACCTGTTTCAATGTGAATTGCACTGTTCAACATAGCCCTGGATAAAGCAGTACTGGAAGAAAACAAGAGGTTCCTCCCCTCCCAGTCCAAACCCATTTCAGCAAGAATCAAGTCCAATAGGAACAGAGATGAAAAAAACTCTCATTTTCATCACAATGCAAAGAAAACAGGATGCTATTATCTTCAATCAGTTTCATACCAGGTTTCTCTGTTTTTTTCTTTAGCTTCTCTTTCATATTTTTCAAGTGTTCTTTTATCAACCATTCCTGTCAAATACCTAAAGAGGGAGGGAAAAAAAAAAAAAGTAATTTTACATAAACAGGAATGTAGTTCCAAATAGTTAGTTATACTATTCCTACAGATTATTTTGAAGAATCGGATCAATCTGATGTGAATAGCAGTGGATTTTTTTCTCCAGAAGAGGCCACACAGTTATCTGTAGGAAGTACACCATCACTGCTTTATGACAGATAAATATCTTTTGTAAGCTTACATGTATAATGCTCTGCAGTAACAAGTCCTGAAAAGAAACTACATCTGATATTTACATATTGGAGATAGGAGAAACTAAGAAAAAGAATGAAGTGAAACATCTCTAAAATTTAAAGGAAAATACTTTTTTGTCTCGTTCTTTCTACACACAGAAAGTAATCTATTATTTTAGCAGAGATCTTTCAGTTACCAAAACAGGTTGATGAGGAGCATACAGTTTTAAAACATCACAACATTCAGCTTTTTCACTCACATACTTCCAACTTATCTTCTAATAATGGTAATCTGCTTAGTTTACAATGGAAAAAATCAGCAACAGTAAATAGAACATTAATGACAATCTTGGCATGCACCCTTTTCCTTCCCAGACCCCTATAACAAAGTGATGTTCTATAAAAATGAAAGACCACAGAAAAATTCCTACCAAAAAATCTAACAAAACAAAGCCCAACAAGCCGTTCAGGAGCCCAACACACCAGTAGGAGCATTAAGAACAGAAATTTCCTCGTACATGGAGAACAGACAGACAACAAAACGCTGATTTGCTCTTGCACGAACTACAAGGTTAAACGCAGCACGACGCTCCAACATCCCGATTTTGTTAAAACAAAACAAGATGAAAATGCCAAGACAAAGACCTCTGTCTCATGCTGAGAAAATTACTTCAAAATCCTAGGAATACTTCACATCAGCAGGACAGCATTTATTTCTTCATGCACCACATTCCATTTCTTGTTTTTGACAAAACATAAAGATCATGCTGCACTTATTTACTTATATACCATAAAATACTGCATTTTCTATGTACTATTTTTAAAATAGACTTTTAAAATTACCGTTTTAATTTTACATTTTAAATCCAATTAAATCAAGTTAAGCCTGCCAACGTTAACACAGGGAATAAGCAATTTTTTTTTTTTTTTTTAATTCTCATGAAAAGGATGAAGTTAACAAGCACAAATAATTTAAGAAGCACAATGAAAAATAGTCTCATTCTGAAAAAAAAAAAAAAAAAAAAAAGCATTGAGGGTCTTTCCCCCATTTAATAATGCTTGCTTTTGCAGTTGTTTCCATAAATTGAAACTCTTAAGGTTAGATCAGCTGAAATTAAAAACCTTCAAAGACAATAAACAGAGTGATGCTTCATCATAAAAAAAAATTAGTCTGCTGATTAACTTCAGAAAGAACATAACCTATTTTACTTAATGCATTATAATTCACAAAACAGAACAGCAAATCTAAAAATTTCATTTGAGTTTCCTTACATTATTTGTCCTCCAATAGTTGACTTGCCAGCATCTTAAACAAAAAAAAAAACATAAAAATGTTAAGTCATTCACAATTTAAAATAAAATCCTAGGGGAAAAGAGAAAGCAATTATGAACAAACTCAACTAACTTGCTTCCAAAGATACAATTCCTAGATTTAATCCAACTGATTTTTTGAAGCATCTGTTTCCCCTTTTTCCATGAGTTAACTGTCAATTCATTCACAATAAATAAAAAAATAATGCTTTAATACATATCAACATAGCATCATTTGTAACTAATGAAAACTCAAAAGGGACCAGCAACAGCATGGGATAAACTTGTGTATGAAGTTCTTGCAAAACCACTTTCCTTGCTACCCTTCACTCTTCTACTAATTTCTAGCGGCTGCCCTTAAAATAGAGATGTACCTCTGACCACTGCCTCACTTTTGTGCAACTCTGCTCTGAATTTACCTGAGGACTAAGTTAGAACACTTAAAGTGCTAAGAGATTCTACACGTAAAAATATAGGACCCATGATTCAATAGTCCTTTCGTACTTCTGATATCACAAGATTTTTCTGGAGCTTGTTGAAACAATTCAAATGGGATGTTATGCTACAGGTTTCAGGCTTGTATTAAGTTGATCTGTTGTTTATAGTTATATAATTTTTTATCTGCTGAAAAATAGTTTCTAAATTCATTAACAATTATTAATAGTAAGAACCTCCTGAGAACATTTATAACAAACAGAAAAGAAGCATCATTTTCTGATTCTGTCCTTTGAGTCATTATCACAGATTTGTAACTTCGGCATTCAGAAGAGCAAGTAGTTGAGAAATCATCAACACAAACGCCACTGTGTCCAAGAGAACTCAGACAAGTCCATCCTTGCCAGTCTTCCCCTGAAAGACCTGCTTTAAATTACTTTTTCTAAAACATCCTTATTAGGATGAATGCGCCTATTAACCTCAAGGGAGGATGAATAGCTGTAACAGAAAAACAGAATTAATTTCTAATCTTCCCAGATAATACACAATACCATACACTACTTCCCATCCTTACAACTTACCGACATGCCCAATGAATACTACATTTACATGCTCTTTTTTAGGAGCACCTGGTGGTGCTACCACAGATTTCGGTTTTGGTATTTCCTCCTCCTCTTCCATCATTTCCTGAGTGCCTTCTTCTGAAGGTCCTGCATCCACTACTGGACCACTTCCTTGCTCTGCTTCACTTGTTTCTTCTTTATGATCCCATGACTCTTCTGGGGACATCTCTGTCTCTCCATTTTCCACTAAAAATTAACCAAATAAATATACTAAACCAGATCAAGAAGCTAAAAGGAATGACTACTGAGAACAGCCCCAAGATGCAATCAAAAGATACTGATTATCAAGTCTGATAACATCTTTTTATGTTGAAAAGGCAGATGCTCATTTCTGAAATATTACTAGGAGTTTTTGGACAATCTTATACGCTAATATCAGAAAACTGTTTCACAGGCAATTAAAAGATTTCTGTTTTAATAAAGCAAAAATTTTATTGGGGGAAAAATTTTTCTGAAAATCAACACATATTCATGCTGGTCTGAATCCATAGAAAAATATGTTTAGAAAGAAAAAGGGAGGGATAATGGTCTAAGTCTCCTGAAAAGCCATACAAATAAAAGGAGAAAGAGACTATTTTCATGTTCTGATTATTCATATTACTAACATTTCTCATTAATCGCCATTTCGTATGTTGCATTTCATATATGGAAAATGAATTCTGAATAAAATGTTGCTGCTTTTTCCAATGTAATCCAACTGCATCTGTCAGTTTGCTACTCTAAGCATAAAGACTTGATGAATATTAGAAAGGACCAAGGCACAAAGGCTCAGTAAAGTACTCTTCAAGTTTGTTTGCAATGATTCAGCAAAAAACAACAACAACAACAAAACACAAGAACAAAACAGTTGTGGTTATTTTATAAACCTATTATAGTGAAATGGAGCTACTTTCATCTTACCAACAGATTCTGAAATTTCCATGTTAACAGCAGCATTTGAACCTAGGGGAAAAAAGGAATCATTAAGTATACATGTTTATCACAACAATATCAAGAACACAGAATAATAGAGTAAACTAATAAACATGTAGTTCAGATGCTCAGGCACTTCCCTATGCTATTTAACACAACCTTATTCAGTTTTAAAAGTTCTGCTTCACGCGACCTTTATGGCCTTCAAAAAACCAATTGGACCTTATGTAATTTGCAGAGCCTGCTCTAACACTAAATAATCAATGAATGAATTTTAGAAAGAGATCATACATACATTAAGAAGTGAGATTCTCTGTAATATTCACATTAAGTTGTATTTAATGGAGCTGTACTGTGTTGTCAGAACATAAAAATTACCTTCACAGGAGGCCGTCTGCTCTTCTGGAGAAGTCTCTACAGGTAAACCTGCATTGAAAAAAAGTCTATCAAAGAACACCGTTGTAACCAATTTCCACATTTTTATACAAAGGACCGTTCTTTCAAAAAGTGTATTTAAAAGACTACTTCCACCCACCACCCAGCAGCATTAAATATAGTTTCCAGGCATGAATATTTCCAAAGAGTGCTCCTTCTAAGTTGTAAAAATAATATACCAGTTCAGAAAATAGTTCCTTATCCCTCAAAGATACATTAAAATAAGATCTTATTTTAAAGGAAGCAATTTCTCTATTCACAGTATTATACCCCATCCATCTTTTTTGGAAACACTTGCTGGTTTAACTGTTAGTATCTAACTGATGTTTAGAAACACGAAAACCAGCTTGACCGTACCCAACAAAATGTGTTAGCAGTGTCACAGTGTAGGGAAAGGTTCTGCCAGCTTCACCTTATAAACGTACCTACAATACTGTTCTGCCTCCTAAACATTCCTCCTAAGCACCGAGTATAAGACTGAAACAAACTAGATAGAATAAATCATTCAGGTCTTGTGTTGAGTCATTGATGATATATTCATCTGCCTACTAAATTTGCCAGTCTTTGTAAATACTCTAATACAGCCACGTTACCCGGAGGAACTTCTCACCAGGTGTACATATCAAAGCCGGAGGAACGTTTTCTGGATAGATCATCCAAGCTTCTCATGCACTCAATCATGCCACTAAACCATATGCTGAGGTACAGCTAACTATTAAACATACTAAAAGCGATATGCTCACATTAACTACCACCTGATGTTTTGGGACATCATTCCACACCATCAGGAGGCATTCTATAATTATCTCTAAAACCTTAATCTATTCCATTTACTTCTGGTATAAATTCAAAACTCTTTGAAGGAAAGAAAAAAATATTTTTTTACTTCAGCCACATGCCAAATACCAAATTCATACCCTCTATTTAACTGCACCCATCAGCTTTCCTTCAGTTACACTATAAAAGCAGAGATCTTACAGCATTACTCACTCTGTATTCATAATGGGACCTACAGTGAAAAAAAAAAAATCCCTTTAACAGAACAAAAACATGCAGAAAAGGACCTGATTCTAAGCCTCTTTGGTTTAGCACCGTTTGTGCATTTGCTGCAGACTTCTATAAACTGGAGCAATGCTGAAAAGCTGGAAGAGATCCAGATGACAAAGCTTGCAGGCAGGGTGAATGTGGGTCAGAGCACAACACCCCATGAGCAGCAGCAGCAGAAAGGGCACAGCAACATAGAAGAAAGCATTCAGAGCAAGGTTCCCTACACTTCTGTATCATATCATTTCTGATCTACATGCCAGAGTCCCAGTGCCACAGGGTCAAATCATTCTTTTAAAGCTTTGATACAGTAAGTAAAAGCAGAAGAGTAGACTATTTTGAGATTCTTTGCAAGAATTACTATTGCCATTTGAGAACCGGGAAAAATCAAGCGTCCCACTTAAGCATGGTAAGCAGGTGGCACAGAATTTAAACATGAACATAAGGCTAATTTTACACGTGCAGAATTAGTTTCAATCCAACGTCATTTGAGCAAGCCCCTGTTTTTACTCCCAAAGTTTCTCCACAGTGAAAAACTTGTTACATGATAGTGTTTGTGTACTTGTTCACAAAGAGAAGATCTACAAGTAGTTTAAAAAGGATGGGAACAGAGTTCATTCTCTTGAGGAGTAGCACTCCTGAAAGCAGGTCCATGTGTTAATTTTCATAATCTAAGCAAACTAGAAAAATGAATACATTTTGTGCATGGATGCCATACAGTACTAACACCACACAGCAGCAGGGACAAGACCTATTCTTCATTGCCATAGCCACTGATTAAACTCTGGTCACTTTGATACACAAAGTAGTAGATGTTTTACAAGAGGACTCAGACTTACATAAGACATCTACTGCTCCTTCAAGGCAGGAAAGGAATACAAACTGCTCTAAGAGAGTTCATTGTGAAGGAATCAAGTAAAATAGGACTTATCAATTTCAAAAAGAACAGGCACTAAGTGATGAAAAGAAATACCCTTCAGTAATTTCTTTCTTCTGCTAAAGAATTTCAGGTTAAGGCAGGTTATTCTAGGCACTGGTACCTCACAAACAAGATGAGAAAAGAAAAATCTGAGTTTAAAGTTTCGGATTTGTCATTTGCTCTATGTGGAAATGACCAAATGCCCTGAAGTATACTTTAAGACAAATCACCCCCCAAAGAAGGGATGCAGTTCTACTTCTTAAACAGCTGCGTTGCCACACTGCACTCTTCATCTTCGCATCAGCAGTACTGCATCTGTAACTACTGAGGCAAAGAAGCATCTGGGCTGATCAAAAACTGAACTACCCGGCACCTTTTGGCTGCATCTGCTCTCCAAAGCAATTTATCAGCCAGTAAATGAGCACTGCAGTTGCCACTACAGAGCAGACACAATAGCTCTCTCAGTAATTCGAGGAAAAACACTTGACCTTTAAGTTCTGAAACAGTCTAAGCAACATTTAGATCATGAGGGAGGGAAGGGACAGCGAATAATTTGGACCTAGCTGAAATAGGCTTACTACTAGGAGTCGATGCTGATTTACAGCACGAGCAGACAACAAACCCCTCACAGTCCCTGTAGCAAAATGTTTTTGAACAAATTCAGAAGACTGAAGTAACCTTGCTCATTTCCCCTGGGCAGTAAAAGACATTGTAACACAATATCTTTAAAGGCGAGGGAAACTGAGGAAAGTTCCAAGCAGCCCTTTGAACTTACCCCAACCTCTCCAATACACTCAAGCAGATATACAAAGTTTCCAATTTTTGGATTTTCTGGAAGTCAGTGAAGTAACAACTAAGGTTAATACAGTTTGCTACTGCTATAAAAATATTCTATACAGCAAATGGAACACAAAGAAAATCTAACACTTTTTCATGGAGCTTAGCAATTCTCAATTCTCTCCTGTGAGCATAACTCAGGTAGGATTCTCATCACATTAGTTAGATTCAAAATGCAGTTTGTGTGAAAAGTGCCTTCAAAGTCATTACATATCTTAAATGATATGAAATTGTAATGTTAAGTAATGCTTCAAATTCTTGGATTTATGTATGGCTAACAACACTTCAGTTTTATGCAGCACCTTTATACTCCATCCCTCCTCGAACTCTAAATCAGGAACAGCTGCATTTCTTGTTCACCTGTTACAGGAGGTGTGCAGTTTATCTTTAGTCCTCTTGAAAAGACAAACTACTAGGGTTCTGATTAAATCAGTGCAGAAAGTAAAAGTGTTGTAGTTATCCACTGGTAGTCCAAAGTTGCATTTATCTATAGGTAGACCATTAGACTTCATGTAATTCACAGTCTAGTCAGAAAAAGGTTTAAAAAAAAAAAAAAAAAAAGAGAGAAAGAAATAAAGAAGTTTTAACAATATTCACTGAAGCAGTATGCATGATCCCAAAAATGAGTTAAAAATCGCTCTATTTTAATAACAGGATGATCTGTCTCTTTAAATACAGCTGATGACCTCCAAAAAACAAAACAAAACAAAAAAAAACAAACAACCTGTGCTAGAATTCACTTTGCCTACTTAATTTATATTGTATCCTACTACAACAGATGCATTTGTTATGTACTACATCAAGTGGTGTACTTGGAAGCATTTTTGTTGTACAGTAGGTAAAGTTGCACAAGCAGATCCAATAAAGTTGTCATTCAACCTTTGAAAATATTTTTTAAAGCTCTATCTAAACCAGGAAGTGAACAACACTGAGAATTTCTGCTTCCTATTTGCCAGAGCACAAAAACTAATTAATTGGTCTGGAAGGATATGAGGTGCTAAAGGCATGATTTAGAGACGGGACGTGGCAGGTCCAGCTGACAATGGGACTTACTTTGAAGATCCTTTCCGACACAGATGATTCTATGATCATAACTACAGTCCAAATACAGTCCTATAGGCAAATTTACAAGCTAAGCAGTAATGAGAGCTCCATCTTTATCTGAACTGGAACATTTACCAGAAGCACAGAATAAACAAACAGCAAATATCTCCACATAAGCAGATATCATTCCGCGGTAACTGGTAAATCCTCAGAAGCAGTTACCTGAGCCACAGTGCAAACACCTTCATAGAATCTGCTATCATGGCTCAAAGCGAAGCTATAACCTGCTTCCACGTATAGCAGAACTCAGACTTCTCTGTTGCAGAGAGAGTTAAGAATCCAGGCTGGTACTTCCAATACAGGGTCAATTAAATGGTTTGTACAACAGAAGGAAGAGTGGAAAAACAAAACAAATGCAGAAAAAAAAAACCACAGAGAGACAAATTAAGTTTGAAAGAAGTCTTATCCACAAGTCTGAGACTATACAGCAGTTTTGTTGTTGCCTTGGAACTGGAACAACAAGTTCCTTCCCAGGAATTCCTGGAAGGCTAGAGATAAGAAATACACCCACCTTACGAATCCCATCATCTTCCGTACTTGTGATTTGAATACCTGAGTTAGTTCAATACATATTTACAAAATAGTCATACCACTGGGAAAACTTTCATGAATTACATGATGTTTGTTCCCCACTTAAAAAAAAAAAAAAAAAAAAAAAAAAAAGGAAAGAATATTACCAAAGAAAAACTTAAATGTCCAAATCAAACCTACAGAGCAGAAGAATCAGAATGAAAGAGATTCTTAGTTCTAAAAAAACAAACAAACCAAACAACAAAAAAACCCCAAAAGATACTGAAAGCACAAGTTTAGAGCTAAATGAAATGTTTCATATTCAATATTTTAAAATACACAGATCTCCAAGAGTTCACTATAAGTAATTCACGCAGTCACTTTCTAAGTTCATTTACATCCAAAATTACTTTCTTCTCTTCTCTGACATGCTTCATATGGTAAGACCCAGCTTGAGGAAGAGACAGTTTTGTCTAGCTTTTAAAATGAACCAATATATGAACAGTTTTAATATGACTTTGTAATATTCATTTAAAATATTCATTCATAAAAAAATTAAAAATACCAGTTGCTTTGT